GTGAGTTGGGGAACGAGGTTGTGAGTGTAGCGCGAGACATACCTGGTGCTGGAAGCGTGCGACATTGGTCGCCATATGCTCGTACTTCGGGAATGCTGTTGATGTCATCTTTTGGCTTCGTAGTATAGGCTAGATAGGATCTGCCACATGTAGTCAAGGCGCCGAGCGCCAGATAGGATATCAACTCTGGTTCTTCGTTGATGATGATGGGACTATTTCAGCATTGTCAATTACGAACTCTTGGTGTGTTCTTATTTGGTGAATCTCGTGATGCAATGCTGCTGTTGGTTCGAGGTCAAGACTATCTGGACTCATATGTATGATGCTGTTTGATTGTTGAAGTTCGCTATTGCTCAACTTCCTTGCACAATAGAGTCGATGCCAGATGGTACATTACGATGGAGATGAGAGTGAGAATGGAGCGTGGAAGGATACAGAAATACACATGGAAGTAGATACCAGCTGGAGACGACTTAGGCATGTTAAGAAACAGTGAAGGCTGGCATGCCGCCTAAAGGGATGCTCAAAACACCCCCCTCCGGTGCCATGCCCCCCCTGGCGGCTGCTCCACTGCGTGGCTGGGTACTGCTAGTAACCCTCCCAACCAGTAGAACAGACCCTGAGGAGGGATCAAGGTTCGGGGATGGCTGCTCTGTAGCAGTCCTCCCTTTTTCTCTCCACTGCCCTTGTGTAGAGCATGCTTGCCAGTGATAAGCAACCGGACTGACACCCCCCAGAATAGAAGGGGCCCTGACGTTTTTCAAGAAAAAAAAAGAGCAGCATGACTAAAAATCATCATACATACATGCATCCGTAGCCAACTTCATAGGAGTGCCGGAACTAAAGGTGTAGCTTTTGCCATATCTTTATGTTATGACCCTGGCCAATTTCGAGATACACATCCACTGGAAAGTACAATACCATCCAATTGCAGAAAGAAATGAATGAACTTGAGAGGTGAGAGAGGAGTAGAAGAAGAAGAAGAAGTAAGAAAGAAGAAGAAGAAGATGTACACCAGCAAAGACAATGACAAGGCTCTTCTTCTTCGCCCAACAATCTCCTCCTTATCTCCCCCTTCTCTTATTCATACAAGAAATAATAATACAATGTTGAATGACTGGTCCAGAATCATGTCCGAGTCCCTTTTCTACTGCAGGTATCACTCAAGGTCCACCATAGCCCTG